ATAATAATAATAATAATAACAGTTGTTGTTGTTGTAGTGTGTGTGCGCATGAGTGTGTGATAAGTTCCTCGCCTATTATGTTTTAGTATGAGTTTTACGGCACTTTCAACACAATAAGGTCATATAAGTGCCGAAGATTAGAGGTGTTACAAGAGAGTAACAAACATAAAAAAGAAGGAGGAGAGATAAGGACGATAGATGTTTGATAGGAAAGAAGGAGCAGACCACCCTGTTATTGTTCCCGTTGTTGATGTTATTGTGTGTGTGTGACTGTATATGTGTGTGTTTATGTGTATGTATGTAAGTATGTGTATGTGTATATATATATATGTCTGTGTGTGTGTGTGTGTGTGTGTGTTTATATATATATATATGTGTGTGTGTACATAAGTGTGTGACAAGTTCTCACCTGTGTGTCCCTCCCAAAGAGCCCCGCCTGGTGTTCACAGACATCCAGCCACGGACGCTCCATGCAATTTTCAAAGAGACCAAAAGGCCAGCCACACTCTCCCTGTTGTTGTAGCTGATGTTGTTGTTGTTGCTATTGTGTATGTGTGTGTACATAAGTGTGTGTGTACCTAAGTGTGTGTGTATATATGTATGTATGTGTGTACATAAGTGTGTTTCTCACCTGTGCGTCCCGCGGTTAGCTCTTGTTGCAGCCAGACACACTCTCCCTGTTATTGTTGCCGTTGTCGTCTTGCCACTTATCCAGCGACCTCCGGCGCGCGTTCATGAAGAAGTTGGCCACGGTGGTCACCTCAAGGCCCAGCTGCTGGGCTATGGTCTGTTGCATCTCCTTCGACGGCCTTTTTGTCTCTTTGAAAATTGCATGGAGCGTCCGTCGCTGGATGTCGGTGAACACCAGGCGCGGCTTTTTGGGCGGCCGGTTCTCCTCCGGCGATTTGTCCACGTCGAGTTCTTTCCGCTTACACGCTGGGGGTGGGAGAGGAGGGGAGAGAGGGTTAATGTAATAATAATGGTGGGAAGTTTAGGGGAGAATGGGTTAATACAATGGTGAGGAGAGGAGGGGAGAGAGGGTTAATGTAATGGTGGGGATGGAGGGGGTGAAGAAAGGGTTAAAGGTGGGGAGAGATAGGGAGAAAAGGTTAATGGTGGGGAGTGGAGAGAAGGTTAATTTTAGAGAGAGGGGGGGGTTAATGAGAAGGACAGGAGGTTAACTAAAGAGAGCGAGAAGAGAGGGGGCTAACTAAAGAGAGAGAGGGTTAACTAAAGAAAGATGACAGGGGGTTAACTAAAGAGAGAGGAGATAGGGTTAACGAGAGGGAGAGGGGGTTAACTAGAGAGAGAAGAGTGAGGGGATTAACTAAAAAGAGAGGAGAGGGGGTTAACAAGAGGGAGAGGAGGTTAACTAAAGAGAGAGAAAAGGGGATTAACAGGATCAAGACAGGTACAATGATCCTGGTTGGACATTTAGTTCTGGGAACACCCGCCCCCCGCCCCCTCTTACCAAGATAGACCAAAAGAAAAAAAAGAAAATGACCCAGGGGAAGAAAAGAGTGGCAGTGGGCGACTGTGCAGAAGCAGGGTGTACCAGTGACACCCCCCAACCGCCCACCGCAATAACTACATCATAATAATATTATACTGTACTTGTAGGAGTGAAAGAGTGAACCAAGAACGACAGAGTAGAGGTGAAAGTGTAGGAAGAACAAGCTGTGTGTGTCAGTGTCAACAACACGGTGCCCACCAACACAAGATATCACCATCTACACACTTGACACAGCACAACACAACACACAGCACATACATTTTGCACACACAACACGCATTGTTGACGTCAAGAGAAAGGCTCACTGACTGTGCTCCGACACAGCAGATCACAGACGTGGTACGACATACACATACATACATACATACACAAACACATACAACACAAAGGGAGGGAGGGAGGGAGAGAGAGAGAGAGAGAGAGAGAGAGAGAGAGAGAGAGAGAGAGAGAGAGAGAGAGAGAGAGAGTGAG